ATAAAGAATGCACTTTTTGCACCATTTCATGTGTGAAAGGACTGTTTGAACATGGATAATGAGTAATTTATTTTAATTTAAATTGCTATGAAAAGCAATTGAGAAAAAGAACAAAACTTTATTCCTCAGAAAGAAGAATGATTCTGAAAATAACCATTAACATTGAGTTACTTCTAGATGGAGTGACAGGGGTTTGGGGATGAAGCATCTCACAATCTCTAGGCAGCTCCCTATATAGTGCATCCCCGAATTCTTAGAGAACCATCTCTAGTGACTGCAAACTCAACAGCCCCTTTGGTAGGTCCAGATTTTGAACTAAAATCTGTATTACAACTTCTGCCCAAGGATCTTAAGTCTGCCTCTTTGAGGTCACTGAAAATAAGTCTTCCCTCTTTCTTCTAAGCCTGTCCTTCAGCTTTTGGGAAACTCTCCTGAGCCCTCTCCTCTTCAGGTTTAGTATTCCCGAGTCTAGAGCCCCTTTTCCATCACAGAAGATCTCTTCTATTCATCTCTATTCTATGTCTTCTATTCAAGACTTTGCCCACCAGCCTTGACAAATGAATAAAAAGAGAGCTGTGGTATTTCTCTCTCTCCCCACCCCACACCCCACACCCTTGCTCTCTCAAAACTGGTAGGAGTTTCAAGATGTTGTCTTCTCACCAAGATTCTTTTCTCTGACCTCTGTAGAATTTAGAATGAGAAGCAATTAGAATGGGAAAGAGTTTAATGAACCCTTTCTTCAGTGTATCACCCCCACCACACACACACACACAAGTTTGCAAAAGAGGAACCTGAGGTAGAGAAACAAGAAGTGTCCGGTGCAAGGTGGTAGGAATCAGGAGTCTGGCTCTGCCTCATGGCCTCATGGCTTGGTTTGTTGATGTCTAAACTTAACATCAATACCTGGAAAGATCCTAGAACAAGTTATCAAACAATCACTTTGCAATCACCTTGGCAACCATAAAGTAAAGCAGAGCAACCACCAAAGCTTTCTGAGTAGCTGATTATACCAGATGAATTTAATTTCCTGCTATGCTAGAGTTTTATGAGAGACATGCTAATAAATCCTCCACATGGAAGGGGCACTGAACAAAGGGAGATGACATTAAATTAAAGCCAGGGAACTTCACTTGGCCATATAAAGAACTCCTTGGCCTGAAGAGAATTAATCATTCAAAGGGGCTAAACTCTGGCAGCTTTTCTCAGCTGGGATTTTGCAAGAGAACTGAACCTTACCAAAAATTATTTGAGTGACTATTCTTCCCAATTCTCCCAAGGGTGGTACAAAACTATTGCCCTCCTAGGGACGTAAGAGAGAAATTAAGCCATTAAATACAATGTAATGGATGCCCCAGGGCACAGGGTTCAGTTCTCTTGCTGAGTAGGAGAGAGATTGCTAGGAGTCTCCTTCAGGTAGGGGAATGAAGAGTGTGTGTTGGGATGTCTGTGAGCCATGGAAGCAGTTTGACAATACATGGATGGGGGACGAGGAGACCTAGGTTCTAGGCCCTATTCAACTATCATGTTCTGGGTAATCTTAATACGTCTCCTTCTTTCTAAGCCTCAGTCTTCATCTATGAATGAGAGCTTGGCTTGGTGACATCCAAGGGCCTTCCATTCTAAAGTGAACAAGGCTGTAGTGGGAGGAAGTGCCTTGAGGGTTATGGAGGAGAGGAGTTCCTGACTCTGAAGAGCCACTATGGAGTTGGCAGGCATAACTTTGTATCCTACAAAATGACTTGTTTATCAGTCACCCCCCTGCATCCCACTATCATGTTCTGCTCTTCACATTTTACCATCACGATTTCTGCTATTCTAAGTAACAGGTGTACTATGATTTACTAGATTATTGACTCACTTTTAAAACTCCAAACATTTATTTTTAAAGAAAAAATTTATATCACTGCCATTACCACACGGGGGAAAACAAGTGTCACTTGCCATAAATAGAAAGTAACCATGAAAACAAAACAACGTTAGTACATTTTAGTTTGATTTTGTTGCTTGCCAACGTTCTGTGCCTGAGGCATGCCCTCTTTTTATTGAAAGGGAAGAATAGCAAGTGCTATAGAGATATTCATGATATTCTAGTACCAAATGGACTTTCTCCACCTATGTTAAAAACACGGAAAGAAATTGAAAAAGGAAATAACTTCTGGATAGTGAGTATTACTTAATATGCTATACTGAGTTATTTATAATAATTTC